TCCCCCCCCCTGCCCCTCCTAAAAGACGGCACTGTATATATTCGGGAGTATATCTGTCTGTATGTCACTGCATATACGTTTAGGAATATACATTTGGATATATTCGCGAAATAAAGATTGATCGGCTTTAACGCTTAAAAAAGATGACTTAAGTTGCTAATTTTCGCCCCATTTCTCTTGAAAAGTTCACTGAGCTCTGTGCAGTGTTATGTCTATATATGGTAAAAAGCTTCGCAAGCACTTGCTCTCACATCTGGAATGCGAAATGTAAAATATAGGTATTTTTCCGTTTTAAAATTGAACGTTGCTCGGTACTTACTTTACAGCAAGGCACAGCGCATAAACATAGAAGGGATATGCAACGGTGTGTTGGTTCTTCTGAATCCCACTGACAGTTGCGCGCGCCACGTCTTGTAATGACACTGATGGCAAATCAGTTCTAGAAGAAATAAAAATATCAAAACAATGAAATAAATCAAATAAAACGGAACATTGTTAGGAACTCATTGTAACAAGAGAACATTCATTGCAACAAGAATACCTCCACGTCTGCTGCGGAAAGAAAATTTTTGTTGTAACAAGGAGCGATCATGAATAAACAAGGGGAACGAGAAAGTAAAACTGTGTGAGGTGGGCACGCATTTTATGTGCTCACCGTAAGAGCGTATTGAAAACTGTTGCGCCTTCATTTTTGGTGCATGCAACACAGGTACCACAAATGGAAGATTAGTCGCACGTTACACGAAGGGGCGATAATATGAGTCGTTTCATCGCGAACTGTTTTATGTAATCTCTATTTTTCTTTAAAAAATAAGTCTTGCACTTGGTTTTATCGTACTAGGTTAGGGTACGTTCACATACAGTGATTTATCTCAATGAACCACCAGACAGAGTGGAACATTATAAAAACCTTAAGCAGGCGGTCTATCAAAATATCAAGTAAAGGATGGACTTGTGGACCAATCTTCAAATTTCAGTTATAAGTGAGATATTATCTTGATTTGTGTTCGACGGTTTCAATTTCCCACTTGCTAAAATATTAAAGTATTCTTGAATAAGATTGGGAACCTTTCCCTGGTAAAAATTGGCAGTAGAATCTGTGTTCCAAAATACCATAGACCTAAAGCCGGCTGTAAGATTTTCAATAGCTTCTATAGCCGGATGCACAATCTCTTATAGCCTTTTACAGCCGATGGCGATTAAGCAACAGCCAGGCGATAAAGTGTATGCTAAATGTTACTAATAACGTATGCTAGGACTTAGTGAGTTTTTGGACTACCGCTCTCGTTTTGGGCCGTTGTATCATGATTTATTTTGCGAGGAAAGCTCCGTACTTTTGATGGATGCCTGCCATTCCTAATATATTAGAACGCCTTCATTTTCGTATGATACTGTACAATACCTCTGGTATGAAATAGTTGCTTCATAAGCCGCCGTGGCACGCTACGGCGCGGGAGGCGGGCAGCCAGCGCAAAACGCGCATCGGCGCCTACAAACCTAACAGGGATACTTCACGCGTTGCGCAATGCGTGAAGTATCCCTGTTAGGTTTGTAGGCGCCAGTGCGTCGCCGCTCCGCTTTGTGTTAGGCTCTAATATTTAAGTTGGCGGAGTCAGCGTCATTCAACTCATGATTTTGAAATGTTTGCACATCCTGTATGGATTATTCTCATTTTAATTGATGAAAAAAAAAAAATATGCATTAAAAGAAAATATAACGTGTGTTTTGTAAATATTAAGGCGGTTCCGTATCAAACTTAATAATTTCCAAAGCACACGAATTTCTACACAATTTCTTATAGCCTTTTATAATCGATGGCGAAAAAGCAACAGCCAGGCGATAAAGTGTAAAGCCCGGCTATAGGAACTATAGCCCAGCTGCATAATTTTTTATCTCTTCGTATAGCCTGGCCGTATGATTTTCTCCCCATTCTACAGCCAGCTGTATGATTTTCTGTAGCCAACCTTCTTCAGCCGGCTATAAGAGCTCCTGTGGTATTTTGAAACGCAGCTCTTATCGCCAGTTTTTACCAGGGTTAGCAGTAAATTGAGTGTACTTTGTTCTCTCCTCAAAGCGCCTAATTTCTTTCTCACACCTTGAAAGGTTTTGTGTGTGAAGGAAGATTAAATAAATGTTTTCAAATCAAACCATAGATATAGGTCATACGAATAATTATGTTGTCACTTGTCGATGGTGCGTGACTTTTTTTTAAGGAAGCAGTTAGATTTTATTGATTTAAATCACAATTATAAATACTAATATTGTATCTTTGAGTTGATATTGGACATTTAATAGCTTGCTCATCACTTATGCGAGACATTTTGTTGAAAAAAACATAGGCTGAGAGTACTGAAATTTTTCCTTAGTATAGTTATGAATTGAACCTTTTCATTATGAATGAGTCATTGAGTACTCGTTTAAAAGATAATTTGAGAGGCTTACTTGACTTCCCAGTGCTTGACATTGATAGGACTTGAGTCAATAAAGTACGGATGGACGACTGTGGTTTTGACGTTGTTGTTCGGCATTTGTTTCAGTTCTATCCGCAAGTTCTCCATCAATCCTTTAAAAAATAAAAAAAATGAGATTATAGTAAAATTCAGCTTTGTTAAAACCTCCTTTTTTCTTCTCTTTTTATATTATTTTTTAAATGAATAACAGCTTAGTGCTCATTTTTCATTCCCTAACATTAAAACTGAGAAAAAAAATCCCTCTGAAGAGTTGAGTTAAGCATGCGTGTTTCTGTTTTGACTGAAGTCAGTATCCAACTTCTCTCCTCTTTTTTAATAACCCTTTATTTTTCCTGGATCATAATTCGGTCATTCGTTGGTGGTCATAAAAAATTAATTGGGAGGAAATTTTTACGGAATAATTGTGGCATCTTCTCCTCTGTTTGAGTCCGTTTGCAAACTTTTGGAACTGTATCTGTGGCTGTGGGAAACATAATCTCAGTGAAGATATAATTTCTGGTATGAGCAAAAATCCCCTTCAAATTAGCAGTTATGCAAATCCACGTGGCAATTGTAGATGAATATTTATCACTTGCAATTTAGAAGTTACACCAAAGCAATATCTGTTAAATAAAAAATCCGAAAACCTGAGGGTACAATTTATTGTTAAGTGTACTTGAGTTCATCAAATTGAAAACTCATCATCATCTTTACTCCTCAAAAAATTAGCACGTGTGTCGATGAAGAAATTTAAGTGATTTAAAAGCTTACTCAATTTTTACACACGACGAATGCAACTGAGGCGGTACACATTTTCAACTGAATGTAGATACCGTCACATATACTATTTTTTTAAAATTTGAAAATGATTCCTTGCCGAAGTTTATGCTGTATACAAACACCTGTGTAATCATGAGGGACATTGAAAAGCTCAGCATTCGTTGTCAAAGTCAAGAAAAGTAATGACATTTCTTCCGTCGAATGAGTTGGAAAAAAAATTGCTCCTATTTTTCCTCTCTATAATCGTTCTTAAAACTATGATTAATCGTCATAAAAATTAGTACCTGTCACGCCGTATTTTGTAGCTGCGTATGTGGTCATGTTAGCCGCTTTTGTGTGGGCAGCTATCGAAGAAATAGCGCAGATGTGTCCTTGATTCCGCTTCAGCATTTTTGGCAAGAAAGTGCGTATACTCTGCAAACCAAAAAGTAAGAGTCGCTAAATATGTATCTCGATTTGCGACGAGGTATTTCTTGATTTTTAAATTTCTTGTCGTATTTTATTTTTTCCTTTTTCCCCTCCTCATTGAAACAGGCGAATCTTTACAACGAAGACCAACGAACATATTTTTTTGGAGATTTTATGGATCTTTACTCATCCTGTACAGAATATTTCTATGACATTATCTGGCAATATTATTAATTGACCTTCTAAATTAAAATAAATTAAAGAAAACTATTGGAGATGTCGAAACGTTGCAATCGAGATAAGTATGAGCTTTTCGACTTTCACGATCGTTAAACACGTGTGAGCACAAGGTCACTTTGGTAACGTTTGTCAAAACCTTACTGGATTTCGGCTAAAAATAATGTGTATGAAACGGGCACATCTGATAACCCACTTCATTTGAGATCGCCTTTGCTGTCTTTTATTATTCTTCATAATCAGTCTTTCCATTGGAAAAAAAAGTTCGGCTGCCTCTAACTTTAATTTTATTATCAAAACAGTAAATAATCAACCGAAAATGAGTAGTCTTTGAGTTTGATCCGCGTCAATGTCTCGTGGTAATCATCAATAATCTCTCCTAACTTCGCAGTTGAAGATGGATTCTCACGTCTAGCGCAAAGAATTCTGAGTATGACCCATGTGTTTCGAAATACTCGAAATGTTATTCCCTGGCTCTATCATTAAGGATTTTTTCGTCCTAAAAATTAAGTCAAAAGTCATGTTTAAAATTTTATACCATTGATAACACATTGAAAACCTCGCGTTTCTTGAAACGAAACATCAAGTTTCTTACGTCCAACTTTAACGAAGCGCTTTTAAGTCGAGCAATTAAGACGGATGCGTGCATCACTGATTATAAAGAATTCAATGTGGAGAAAACCATAGGATGTGCTTCCCATCTCCATACGGATGACATCATACATCTCGTTTCTTACAGGGCGATAGCTCCGTTGATATTAGAAATTTAGCGTTTAGACGGGTATTATTATTATTTATCGCTGATCTACTATAGCTTAACCATCAAAACGCGATTCTGCGACTAGCACAACTGACTACTTGTAAAAAAAACCTGTCATTATTTAGTTTCTGAGAAACATTCAAAGAAAAGAATACTGTCTAAGGTATTAAAATAGGTAAAGGACCCACAACTGAGCATAAAGAATTCAAATCCACAGTGATGGCAATGATGAAAATTACTCATGCACCGCACGCAAAACTCTATCAGCTATTCGACAATAGAACGTATTTATGCTAAAAGAAACTATGATCATAGGCTTTCCATGCAACATAGTTCCTTTTAACATGAATACGTTCAACAATACGCACACGTGGACGTTGAATCGTGCTCAATGGACCTTCATAGGAGCAATTTAATTTAAGTGGTCTAAGTAACCGCGTCGCCGATTTTTTTCGTTCTTGGGTCCAGAATGCAGTCGCATAAAACACTGTCGTGAACTCATGATTTCTTGACTGCCTTGGCTTTGAAGTTTCCTCCTCGGTGGAAGTTGACCAAAGCCATAATTTTTTTTGTCTTCGAGAGCACTCAAAAACGATACAAACTTTTACTACTCTGACTGTTTTTAGTTCCATGGTGATATACAGAGACGGAAGTTAATTTTCTTTTTTAAGTAATTCAGTTTTAAATTCTGAATGAGATTTTTTATATATCTCGTGATATTTCCCCAATTTTGATTTTTCAAAGTTTTTAAAATCCAAGGATGACAATCCAACACGGGTTTTCATGTTCACGAGCGTAGAGGATACGAATTAACTTCGCCAAGAAACCAAATTTTACGCAACATCTCAATTTTTTCAATTTTTTGTTGATTTTTAGACATTGCAGCAAATAATGTTGAAAGGAAAAGAGAGGGAAACGAAATCAAAGTTGCTATTATTTTTTTAAGGCTCAATGTTTAACTGTCACCCTTATTTTCTAGGCACCAAGGTAGGGGCACTATTTTAGCTACAAAAAAAAAAAAAAAAAAAAAAAAAAAAAAAAAAAAAAAAAAAAAAATGCTCTATAATTTTAAAACAGAGAAGTAACGCATAAAGCAAAACGCTCGGGCAATCCCCTACCCTCGCCAATTCTCAATCCACGTTCCATCCTTCATACTGCTGGAACTCATGCGGATATACTGCCGGGCTACCGAAAAACGCCGTATAAACCTTTAAACGTTGCCAGATCTCCTTTAATAAGAACCAAATTTACTGGAAAAATTCTTAATATTTTTGTCCAATTTCTCAGATAATTTTGTTCGCAATTTGATCTAAAACATCTAAAAATTTCACAGAAAAATATGCATAACTTTCCTAAAAAATACTTGTTTTATCCGGAGAAATTTGGCAACTCTCGAATGTTCCTACGGCGTTCTTCCTCAGCACGGCAGTAAAAGAGGTGCACGTGTATGAGAGACGCGTAACGCTTCAAGGTGGTGACCGCAAAGCGGTTAGGGGGGTCAGGGTCAGCCCCCTAGTCTCGAAAAATTGACCAAATTTTTTGCTATTAGGCGCCTCTGCTGCCGAACCTGAGTTAATTTGTAGTGAGTGAACTTACCCAAAAATGACTTTTGAGGTTGACGTCGAACATTTTCTCTATGAGATCGTCGGAGGCCTCGAGGATGCTGTGGCTGGCGACGATGCCGGCGTTGTTGACGAGGATGTCTACTTCACCCTGCTGGGCGGCGATCTGCTTGGCCAGCTCCGTCCATGCCTCTCGGCTGGCCACGTCGGCCTTGTAAGCCTTGGCCGCCTCGAGCTTGAAGTCCCGGTTGATAATGGACACCGTCTCCTGGCAGCCCTCCTCGTTGATATCCACGCATGCTACTGTGCAGCCTTTTTTTGCTAGTAGAATTGATATCTCCCGTCCCAAGCCCCTGCCAGCCCCCGTTACCTGAAAGTCCGAGAATGAGCATAACATTAATAATCTAATTTTACCTTGAGAATATCGTTGAAATCGGTATGTTGATTTATTCAATTTACACGGGAATAGCGGTTTGGTGATCCAGCTTGCAGAGGTAGATCTGATACCCAAGTAGCACAGATTGCAATAAGTAGCAATTGTATAGTAAAAATAGTGCAATTCCACTGAGTGTTGTGTATATTGCCTAGCGCTTATTTGAAGGGGCCCATTGGAACTTATTGAAATAAGTTAATAATAATAATAATAATTATCTATTTACCCTTTTTTTTCAAGCAAGATAGTATGTGTTACTGACTTTGGCCTGTGGCCCGTCAGTAATACTTGTGCCGGAAGTTACAACTCTTCTGAGTTACAAAAAAAAAAAAAAAATAATAATAATAATAATAATAATAAGTTGCAGTGTTTCCTTGTATTACATATTGCCTATCTTTCTTACATATGGAACTCATTTTGTTGATCGTTTAAAGTCGGCATAAATAGACTAAATGATGTAAAATTATCGCAATGTAATGGTAAACAAATTACAATTGTATGAAATCAAATTGCGTTAAAATTTCAATATTTTCGTTGCACTGTGCGACCTTGGTAGTGCCACATACGTTTTAGGTATTACCAGCCTCTCCGAAATCAGTGTCTAGTCCTCTAAGGGGAGGTGGCACTTTTACCTGAAGCGAATTTTATTTTGAGGTGTTTGGAACTATCGTACTTTGCCGCTCAAACCTCGCACCGCACTTTATTTGAGGTCGGAACTTCCGATTCGGTGACCGACAAATCCCAACTTTGGTTCATGATTTTAATACCGCTTCGCGAGGTGGTCCTAAAGTAGGTTCGACCTATCGAAAACCAACGGGTTCGAATGATGAATCAGTTGGCAACGGTGTCCATCAATGTTGATAATATTGATGAGACAGAACTGGACAGAACTTCGCAAGAATGTGCAGAAATCTGAATAGAATTCGCTCCAAAAAGATCATTGATGCTATTCTGGGACCCGGAAGTCGCATTAGTCCGTGTACCTTGGAAATAATTATTTTTTGTTTAAGCCAAACATTCAGTACTCCATTTTGATCAAACATGTTAAAGGGAATTTTCGGTTTGTGATACCAAGCGTTCAAGGCATAAGACAGAATTTTTTTTTCAGTCTGGTGAAGTTTGAAAAGCTCAATCTTACAAACCGGACGCTGAGTTTGACGAATCGGAAGTTTAGTTTGATTAGCTGAATAATTCAATACAAATGAAACACCCGCCGGCGATGTGAACCTAACTCGAAGTCATAAGTAAACAAATGTGCTTCAGGAGAAACATAAATTGAATGAAGTAATTTTGTATCGGAGAAATGAATTTTTTCAGTTGCATTCACATACCAGAGCAAGCTGACCTTTCAGTGATTTCTTTGGCACGCGCAGGAAACCAAGTAATTGAAAGATGTACACCAAGAAGGAATAGACCGAGTAGAAAAATCCAATGATTGATTTGACAAATAAAACGGGATAGTTCATCGTGGCTCAGGTCAAATGAATTCGGAAAATCTGTGAAATTTAAATAATACATGGGTTAGCGTGGTTTTTTCAGAAGGGAGAGGGCAGCTCTAACAGAAAAATTAAATTGAATAAAAGAAATGGCATTTCAAGCCGTCGTATCTTCCTAGCAGTGCGAAAATAAGAATATTCAACTTTAGAAGGCAATATTTCTTAGTTGAAAATACAATTAGACCTTTGAAGTAAATAAAGAGCTTTAAAAATTGTTAAGCAATAATTGCGAACCCACAGCATTTGTAAACTATGATAATTTTAGGATGGGAGGGAAGGCCACCATCTGATAAAAGAGATACCACAGGAGGAAACTGACGTGAACAATCAACCTACTGAAATAAAAACATATAAAGCCGGTAAGAAATAAAAAAGCGGAACAAACGTGTCGGTACGCATACTACAAGAATCTCCCGATTGGACTAGGAGGTAAAAGTTGAGATAAGCTCCCTACGTGACGTAAGTAAAATTCGCTTACGTCACGACGTGCACGTAGTAGCAACAACTACTCTATTAAAGGTGAGTTCCGAAGCGTGCCGATCTGCCTTGCTGAGGAAGAACGCCGTATGAATATTCGAATGCCGCCAAATTTCTTCGAAGAAATATTTATTTTTAAGGAAAGTTACGGATATTATTCCTTGAACTTTTCAGAAACTTCAGGTTAAATTGCGAAAAAAACTACATACAAAATGAAAGTAAAAATATTGATATGTTATAAAGTTACCAGGAAATTCGTGTTATTTTAAAAGTAACTTTTGGCGACGTTTGAAGGCTCATACGGCGTTTTTCCTCAACGCGCGCAGTGGCACTCAACTTAGGCTCTTTAAAGCTGCAACTTGACTCACTGGGGAGGCGGAACAAATTTTGGAGCCAACACAAATTATAGGACCTGATTCAGGCCTTAATTTCAGCATGTGTAAATTTCGATGGACATATTTTCCGATTGTTGCCCCCCCCCCCCCCCCNCCGGTCCCCGTGACATTTGGTCTCTTCTACCAACCCTTCCTCATCCTAGGTACGTTAGGGATTCCCACCCTCCTCCCATAACAAAGGTGACACCTTGCGGATATTGCCATGCCTAAACTCTTATTGTAGAGCGGAAATACAACAGTTATCATTGAAAGCAGAGAGTATTTTTCTGATTTTTCAGGCATGCAGAAGAGATATATGAATAATTGATTTTGGAATTTGAATAAGATCAATTAAATAAGCCTACAAAGTTATAAAAATCGAAGTTGGCTTTCCTAATAAGTGATAATTTTTAAATTTAAAGTTGACAATTTTTATTTCAAAATTACTTATGAACTTACGTGTTATTACTGTCAATGAGATCCCATTGACCTCTAAAAATGGTGTAATGGTGTAAAAATAGTGGTATTTTGAGAGAAATTGCTCGGAACTGATAGGCGATCATTATTTCGATGCATGAAACTGTTCTTATTGGGACTTGAAAAAATTACCAGGGTGATAAGAAGCCAAAAAAATTTTCCTATTCAGTCGTTATAGTTTGTTTTGGTTATGAAGGTTCATGCTTCTTGCCCATTTTTCCAGGCCTCTAAATTCCAATCGATGGGATATAGATGTTTAAACGAAGGTTTGCAATGCATCATGATTGAACGACTCAAATGTAACCTTCCCGCTAAAATTTGCACAGTCCCGATATTCCATCGTCTATATTTAGGAAGATATCCATACTTTTTTCGACCAGACCAAAATTGTATCGACATCAGGGAAATTCAAGAGATTCGAAAAATATCCACGTAAAAGAACCTTTTCTCTGAAGGATTTTCCGTGAACAATTTCCCAAGATAATATGGATGTACGGTAATGGGTGAGCATCAAACAAAGAAGGTGTCGTGATAGCACTGGAAAGTATTTTAGAGGTCACTATTATCTAATCTCCGAGTGGATAAAAATGTGCAAGGTGCAGTACCATGTAATTTAATTCTATCTTGAGTGATTAATGAAAAGAATGTATTAAAATATCAACGAGCAAGTTCAATCTACTGACATTAAAATTAGCGCTCGAGCAGGTTAATGACCATAACCGCAACTCATTATTAGCGAGAATTTTTCAGAATTTCAAGTTGGAGAGCTTTCAGCCCGAGCAGCCTCATAATGAGCTAGACGGACAATTGCACCAATACTGCCGTGCTAAGGAAAAACGCCGTATGAGCCTTCAGGCATTGCCAAATTTCCTCTGGAAAATTACTGCTTTTCAGGAAAATTTTTGAATAATTTTCTGCCAATTTCTCGGATAATTTTGTTTATAATTTGATCGAAGGTGTCTGAAAGTTTCAAGAAAAAATATTCATAGGTTATTCCTCTAAAATGAACATTTTATCCGCAGAAATTTGGCAACTTTCGGATGTTCATACGGCGTTCTTCCTCATCACGACAGAACAGCAGTCTTGATATTTTTTAAGCACACCAAGATAAAACCGCAAAGATTTTTTTATTTATATACTAGGTTAGGATTCATATACTTCGATAAGATAAAATAGGATAAGATATTTTATTCAAAAAGTAAAACATAAAATAAAAAACAACATTAATGTGCCCGAAAGAATTAGAATCGTTTTTTTTCGAAGCATACTAGGATACAAACATCAATAATTAAAATAAAATAAAATTTGGTGGTGGGGGGAGGGGGGAGGAATCGTGCTATCCAAAAAGTCTCCCTTTTGTTGCGTTTAACTGCATTTCAAACCGGCAATATCGAAACTACACATCGAAAAAAGTTAATCGGTGAAATTAATAATGCCAATAATTGATATATTAACCATTTTACTCATCAACAGCCCCAGAATTACGCTTTCAGTCGCAGAGAAAAAGAAACGAGAGACATTTTCGAGGCTCTCTAATGCTTGACCTTTTAGTCTTTGAGTCCCTAAATTTCCATGAATTAAAACTTCTTAAGATATATCCCATGAAGAGGAATGTTTAGTACCTAACTTCAAATTATCTTAATCGAGAGCAAGGGGCTTTGAGAACAAAGCGCATAAGTGCAGTTTTTGCAGCTCTCTCGAGAAAGACGTGTTTGAAGTTTCCAAATTACATGGATCCTCATGGCAGGAAGAGAGTCCAAACTGACTTCTTGATGCTTAAAAATTGAAATTCGGGAGCAAATTTTTCACATAATATGCATTAAGACTAGCTTTACTTGAAATCACCGATAACTCAATTATTAAAAAACTGCACCTACGCCCCTTGTCCTCCGAGCCCTTCAATTATACCTACTTATAAAAAAAATAATCTTACTTTGCTAAATAATTGAAAAAAGAACATTAAAAAACCAAAAAGAAAACGAGCGTATTAATTTATGATGACCCAAATTGAATAAATTTGTATTTATTTAAAAAAAAATCGATTTCATGCACTGGAAAAAAACCCACATTTGATCTAGAGTCCAGACTCTTAAAAACATCGACATGAAAAAGTACTCTTGATTCAATCAGATTTTTGCTGAAATCAAAAGGAAATCCGCTCAAATTAAGAGGCTTGGTTCTTGATTTAAGCAAAAATCCGATTGAATCAAGAGTACTTTTTCTTGTCGATGTTTTTAAGTCTGGTCTCCAGATCCAATGTGTTTTTTTTCTCCAGTGTAACCCTCATATCCTCAGAAAAAGTGAAAATAAAGGTACTTACGTTATAATCCTATAAAAATAATCCGTCTGAGAGAATCCTAAGTACACTTAACGTAAACGTTCAATTAAAAATCAGATCAGAGTGCAACTCGGCCGGCGGTGGTCAGTGCGCGACTCGAGGTGGGAAGCATGCAAATACCATAAAAAAACTAGAACCGGCTCCGGGCGCCAAGGATACATCTGTTGTTCCGCCGGGCGCTTCCTCCAGTCCACTTGTCTCTCAAAGTTCAGAGTTTATTTTATTATTTATTATATTACTATAATTACCACGCGCCAAGGCCGGGGCCCAGAACTAGTTTCCGCGGCCTAACCAGTCATCACTCGTGAGTGCCTCACCCGGTTTTGTTTTCCGGCAAACTGTCAAAACAATGCGGTGACCGATTATTTTTTTTACCTTTTTCCGCGATCCGGCAGTGACCTGGTTTAGGTATTTTGGGAGAACATCATATGCTTAAAGTTCGTATAAATGTTCTGCCACAAGCATACTTTACTTACTATAATTTCTGTAGTTCCTATACAGGGATTGAAATTTATTTATTTATTTTGCAGTTGGTACATATATCGACGATGTAGGTCGGCAATCACATAACTCGTTTGCGGTGTCTGATAATCTCCGCCCCTATGTCATTTTTTCAAAGGAGTACAAATTGGCATCACTTCTTGGAGTTTTTGCAGAATTTTTTTCGCGCAGAGAAGGAAAATCACGGCGGTTTTGAAGAATTGCCGTCGAGTAGTTTTATAGCTATAAAATAAAGTATGACAGGAAGTCTGCAACATCGCAAACCGAGTTATGTGATTGCCGACTTACACCGTCGATATTCCCTTTAGGGGATCGTACAAGTCAGATTACAAGATGATAGTATTACAAGTTAACAATTGTTTCTAACAATCAATGAAAATTTAACAAAAATGCTTCTCACAAGAAATGATTCAAATTAAGCAATGTAAGAGCAAAATAAGAAAATGACAGAGGCGATGGATTAAGGCTAGAGATTTGAGAGGCCGTCAACATGGTAGAATGCACCCTCCAAGACAAAAGCCCTAACTTTGAGAAAGAAGACGTTTATTTCGCCCCTCTTAAGTATTTATCTCATCTCAGAGGGAAGGGAGTTAAGTAAAAATCACCAGATGCTCGGCAAATTTTGGGTACGATATGAAGCCTAATACTGCCGTGCTAAGTAAAAACGCCGCGTATGAGCCTTTAGGCGTTGCGAAATTTCCCTTAATAAATCACGAATTTTCGGGAATATTTATAAACATATTTATTCCGATTTTGCGGAGAATTTCGTTCGTGATTTGATCCGAATAGTCTGAAAATGTCAAGGGGAAATATTCGTAACTTTCTTCAAGAATAAATATTTTTTAAGAGAAAATATGGCAATATACAAATGCCTATTCGGCGTTTTTCCTTAGCACCCCTGGTAAAAATTGGCGATAGGAGCTACGTTTCAAAATACCATAGGAGTTCTTATAGCCGACCAAAGAAGGCTATTGAAAATCATATAGCTGGCTGTAGAAAGCGGAGCAAATCATATAGCCCGGCTATACGAAGCTATAAAAAAGTATACAGTCGGGCTATAGTTCCTATCGCCGGGCTTTACACTTTATCGCCATTGGCTATAAAAGGTTATAAGAAATTGTGTAGAAATTCGTGTGCTTTGGAAGTCATTAAGTTTGATACGGAACTACCTTAACATTTACAAAACACACATTACATTTTCCTTTAAAACATATTTTTTTTCTTCAATTAAAATGAGAATAGTCCATACAGAATGTGCAAACATTTCAAAATCATGAGTTGAAAGACGCTGACTCCGCGAAATTAAATATTAGAGCCTAACACAAAACGGAGCGGCGGCGACGCACTGGCGCCTACAAACCTAACAGGGATACTTCACGCATTGCGCAATGGCTGTTAGGTTTGTAGGCGCCAGTCTGCCCGCCCGCCGCGCCGCAGCGTGCCACGGCGTCTGAAGCAACTATTTCACACCAGGGGTATTGTACAGTATCATACGAAATTGAAGGCGTTCTAATATATTAGGAATGGCAGGCATCCATCAAAAGTACGGAGCTTTCCTCGCAAAATAAATCATGATACAACGGCCCAAAACGAGAGCGGTAGTCCAAAAACTCACTAAGTCCTAGCATACGTTATTAGTAACATTTAGCATACACTTTATCGCCTGGCTGTTGCTTAATCGCCATCGGCTGTAAAAGGCTATAAGAGATTGTGCATCCGGCTATAGAAGCTATTGAAAATCTTACAGCCGGCTTTAGGTCTATGGTATTTTGGAACACACATTCTACTGCCAATTTTTACCAGGGACGGCAGAATAAACATGGACTTGTTTTAACGATCTTGTATAGTATAGTGGTGCTTTGGTACAAAATCTTCAGCATGCGATCGAGATCAGTACTTAGCATCAAATGATACCCTTATCGCGAGCTACAGTGTGGCACCACACGTATCTCCATTGCAGCGTTTCAAAATCTCCGCTCCTAGTTTATTTTTTCGAAAAGGATCAAGTTACCTTTATAGCTTGAAATGCATACAGAAAATTCTCCTGACAGATAAAAGAAATCAATGAAGTTTTCAAGAAATTAATTTGACTAGTTTTCCTAAGAAAAAATGAAGTATGTCAGGAAGTCTACAACGTAGCAAACGGAAATACGTGGTTTCGCACTTCGGCTATCGATTTGTAACTTATTTGAATATTATTTTTGAAGAAAATAGGGAATAAGGGGTCAAAATTTTACATGCTGTTGACAACATGCACTTGGATAGAGGTGCATGAGCCCGAATCCGCATAATGAGGGGGGGTAAAGATAAAGAGAGATAGAGATGAAATTACGCATCAATTCATTATTCGACAAGGGTTTACAATTTCTGGTGTTTAGAATTAGCCTCCTTTGCTTGCACGGCAACTCTTTTTCTCTAATGATCTTTTTCTGGGGAAAATTGAAAGGGAAAACCGCCTTATCTCTCACAGCACCGTGTAATAGCACCAAATATAATTACATTAATTATTAATAGACCGAGTTAAATGCTAATTGGAGAGGGAAAACTACATAGAAAATGGGGGCTCGGTTTACAATTTTTTCTGTTCTTTCTCTTCGCTAGCTTCGCTAGCTATTAAAACGCTGTATGAGCATGAAATGACTGCAAAATTTTCTCTGATAAAATGCGAATTAGCGAGAAAACTTGCGAATTTGTTCCTGATATTTTTCAAAGAATTACATCCGTCATTCTATGTTACGTATCGAAAAATTTCAATGAGGGCTGGAATTCATAACTGCTCTTTAAAATAAATTACTTTATTGGTTAAATTGGGCAACATCTGAATATTCATAAGACGTTATTTCTCTGGCACTGTGTACTTCTCTAGTAGCCCAGAGCAGTACAATAATCAAATTCAACCAACCTGGCATCAATGCAAAGTTGCCAGGTTATACCATTAAAGTGAGATATTTAATATGGGATTTAATATGGGATTTAATGGGGGATAATTCTGATTTTTCAGCACACTCTGGCAACAATGCATTGATGCTTGCACTTGCGTGCAAAAAATAAGTTTTTGTACATAACTACAGGCTATGCTCCACAAGTAACTCGTTGAAAGAATAAGGTTTTATCCTAATCGATGTGGTCTGCTTTTTCAGCGCCGAGGACGGATTCGGTCCAGACCCTGCTCGAGACCAGTTCAAAGCTGCAGCAGCACTGGGCCGAAAAAAACGCTCTGAGTTCGTTTGCTTAAAAACCTTCAGAAAATGCCACTTCACCGCCAACCAGATGCTTAAACTTGTCAGGCTCTTCAGCTGATCTGAAATAATCAAAGTCATCTTAACAGCAAAAACCAAAAAAAATCGATAATGTTTAAGCCTTATAGTTCATGTAAGTAAATTTGACCGTAGTTTTACGAACACAGTTGAGCATCTGCATGTGTGAGATAGTTACCCGCAATGAACCTGAAGTTACCTTTTTTGAGACCAACGTTCAGCTGATGTAGATTAGTTTGTCCAGTCATATCTGTCCATTGACGTTTTTTAAGTCATGAAAATAGCTCTATCTTTCTCTCCGTTCGAAAAATTGAACATAATGTCATATTTTCAAACTTGCCATGAAAAATAACTACTGTCTCCAAATCAAACATCAAGTATGTTAGCTATAATAAAAATGGCGGCCTAGCTTACCGTAGCAACCACCTGATAAAATCGTCCTGGCCTTTTCAAGTACCTAATTTTTAACATTTGCTATACGCATGTTTGCCTTTGAAATGAGTTCTAAGAAGTGGAAATGTCGTCATAACCTTGAAAGCTTTGCAAAAAATATTTTAGAGCCATGCACAGGCAAAATGTGCATTTTTTAAAATAAATGTGGAAATAAAAAATCCGCAGTGCAATATTACTTTTGATTTGATCTGAAAACTATTTGGTGAGTGACAATCAAAAGGGATGAAAAAATATAAATTGCAATAGCATCATAAGTATTGATAACAATGGTTCACACACATCTCGTTACAGGTAATCTTGGAGTTGATTCCAAAAATGACCCTGATTTTTTTATTGTGCACCAGTTTTCCGACGAAGTCCATTTTTGTTAGGAAAACATAATTTTTCCGGGTATTTTTGAGTTGAAAGAGCAAATTGAGGGTCATTTTAGTAATTAGCTCGGCGAATATTCTCCGAGATTTTTTTTTTCACTTGGAGGCAACAAGATGTTTCTTTTTTTTTTATTGCCCAATTTGATGAAACCTGCTACTTTTCTCCTTCAATTTTCCTCCTGGCAGTTCATGTTTTTGTTAATTATACTTTAGTTACCTATGTATTTGCGCGTTTGTATATTTTTAAGTTTTATTTTAAGTCTACTTGTTATGAATGTAAAATAAAACAATTCATTTTTACAACTATGATTCTTTCACGTTCTCAACGTCCTTTCCTGCATTTCATAACAACTCAACTAAGTTTACTCAACATCTACCCCTCTCCCCCCCTTCTTCTCCTGATGGACTATTCCCCCCTATAAAACATTATAATACCGATTTCATTTATCCTGTTTTTTCCTACATCCTCTAATTTTACGCACTTGTTTTTTTCGTAACAATTTACCTATTTTGTAACAAAATGGGTATACTTCAATTGCAGATGTGTGAATAACCAAAGTTGCTAAGAAAACCTCTGTGAAATAAACACATATCACAACTATTGCTACGATTTATCCATAGATGAGAAAGATTAGAAAAGAGATCTTTTTAAAAGTTTATTTCCAATTCGGACATGGTACACCGTGAAAAAAACATATCCCACTAGGCACACTGTGGAATAAATGATCACATAATTGAAAAATGAAGAAGAAGAAAATGTAAGGGACACAACGAACTTTTGTAAAAAAGTAGCACCCATATGTAACTTTTTACCCGTCGGTTTGCTTAAATTACAATTGGAATCAAATTATAAGACACCATACCAATTGCCAAAGCGATGGATTACGTCATTATTCAATGTGTTTTTCGAAGAAGAGAGGGTATTCGTTTTTGGTCTGCTTATGCTGAACGCAAATACGGTTAGTTACTATTTTTTGCATTTATATGGGACACTCTTTATTATTTTCTGTCATATACGAAGATAATAACTTCGATTAAAACAACCGATCTTCTAGCCGCATCACACATCTCACCTCTCAGTTTAAGTCACTGAATTTTCCAGTATTAGACCCTAAATTCGGTTAAGGTAACAAAAGTTTTGGGTCGCTTCACTGAGAATCACAAATATGACTTCTATTCATGGTTATCTAGACACAAGTTCGGGTCGCACACGGAGAAAAAAACTTCGTGCGTGGGACCCGAAGTTTAGGTCATGGATCTCTGAAATTTTTGGGTTGAGCATCTGAACGCTTTAGGCCCAGCTGCTGAGGTTTGGATCACACATCTGAAGCTTCAGTTCCTAGATCTGAAGTACTTCGGTTTTCACATCCGAAAAACTTCGGTTCTCACGTCTGAAGTACTTCAGATGTGAGAACTGAAGATTCAGATTTGTGATCCAAACCTCAGCAGCTGGACCTTAAGTGTTCGGATGCTCAATCCGAAAACTTCAGAGATCCACATGACCTAAACTTTGGGTCTCACTCACGCAGTTTTTTCTCCGTGCACACTGAAAAAAAACTCCGACCTTGGAAGCCGCACGCACGGGCTGTATAGATTTACCGTCCGCGTTCCGGGCTGAGAGGCCAGAAACTCCGGGAGGAGCACCTGGAGCAATCGAAGCCACGGCTCCAGCACCCGTAACTTTCGGCCTCTGAGCCCGGAACAGACAGTATGCCTGTACAGCCCGTACCTTTTTCCAGTGCATCATGGAAAACTTCGTTATCACAGCGGCCACATAAGCCTGCTCTAAAGGTGAAGCTTCACTCGGAACTCTTGCCAAACTTTTTTAACTAGTTTCTGGACGAAAGGTAGGTCGACGGTAAGTTTTCTGTCATGAGTGAATTTCCAAGCGAGGAGGCTGATGAGCGGGACAAGGATTGCAGAGAATATGACGTCGAGCAGTAGATATTCGTGGTAAGACATGTACACGGAACTCGGTTTCAAGTGATGGGCCCCGCCGTGTCGCGCTACGTACTCAATCCAAAATATCGCCGTTTCCAAGGGAGGCGTCGGTCTATCTCTCACCCTTCTTGCTAGCTCCTTTGCTTTCGTTGCAAAACTGGAGAGGGAGGGTAAGAGAATTACAATATAAGATAATTATTTTAATGGATGACTATACATGGTAAAAAATTGAACTCTTCGGTGTAAATTTTTCCTTTGCGATTTCACGCCAAATACTACAACGGGCTTACGAAAAATATCGCCGTTGACTATACTATCGCGTCATACCATACATTTCCATCTTTAATCTGAGAGGGGTTTTAAAAATTTTGTAAATTTGACCACATAATTCTTAGGGCATGTAACTCTATGTAACTCTTTTTTTTATTTTATCATTTTTAAACGCGAGTCAAATTGGCCCTTGAAATGAAACCCAACCAATAACAAGAGTTTAGCTCACAGAGATATTGAGAGTTATTCGATTTTGATATCCAGTGATTTATTTCTATCGAGAAGAACGTAGCAAACTGAAAAAAAAAATTTCATCGCAAAACGCTCTGAAACAAAGTATGCGCCCAATTTTACTGACGTTTCTTTCTTTCTTTTTATTTTTTACCAGTTCAGGAAGTCTCCACTAACGAGCATAAAAAACGCTAATTTCTCATCTTACTAATGAATTGAGTACAGTGACGATTCTTGAGAGTTGACAATACTGTTTTCCCTCCATTTAAATGTATGTAAAACAATCGATTCTTGGTGAGGCAGCTTGCCTCGCCTAAAATCGATAAATTTAATGGAATTAAATGGAAGAAAAATGTTGCCAATTCGCAAAGTCGCAACTGATTGAATGTAGGTATTTTTGTTGTGAAAAGAGGGGTGAAAAAGAGCGAGGAATAAAAAGTAATATCAATAAAAAATTCAATACAAAACTATAAGCCTCTTTGGATCAGGGGTCGGAGCCCTGTGTACTGTTATTTTCTTTAGGACTTAAAGCGCCTTCAAACTGCAAGGTATGCAATAAGACCTGCTACATCAAAGCTAACTTTAGCTTTCGCCGCGCGAGTAAACGTTTTCCAAAGGGATTGCAAAAAAAAGGCTAAAACACAACACTATGAACCCGAGGAAAAAACGCACCAATTATTTCTCCAACATCTTGGCCATCTTGGATCTTGGCCACCAACATGTAGGTCTCAGGTTTATTCACCGATGATTTTTAATTTTCAGTATATTTTCCGACTAAAAAATGACTCAGTTTTGAATCGAAACTTCTCTGGTTCTCAGTGTTGTACTTTAGCCTTGTCTCCCGTTTTTCCCCCTTGTTTTTTCATGTATAGTTATTTCTTGGCGGCTTACGACGGTGTATCGATGATTGTGTTGATGGAATTGACAAGAGTGTCGCAGGTGAGGAGCTCCAGGTCGAGGCGCTTGCCGATGCCGCTCTCCTCGTAGAAGCGGACGTTCTGGAACTGTTCGGAGAACACCGGGATGCACAGCACTGGCACACCCGCCCACGTCACCTCGATCAGGCTCCTCTGACCACCGTGTGTCACCATCAGCACACAGTTCCGGTGACCTGCATCAGTTCGAAAACGAATCACATTCTCAATAGTTCTCATGCACGTCGGAAAGGTGTGAAAACAAATGGACGTATTCCTGCAGAACGAAACCAGAGGGGTATGCTCGTTAGTCGAGGGTCATAAGAGTGAATGGGAACTTTAAAGCGCCAGTGAAGTCTGCGGCAACGAAACCGTTTCTAATGAAGCTTTGAGGAGCATTCCCAATCTTTTCGCCACTCGTCTGTGGTTTCGTTTGGCAGAAATACATCCAAATGACGAAAGTGTAAAGGAAACTATGCGAAATCAGCTTTTTTGGCTTCCCACAAAAGCAGAGATGGTCTTTCAAAATCCGGAAATTTAATCATCCGATCAAAATGAAGATGTTGCATGTGTGAGGGATTTGCGATTTGATCATTGATTCTTATGTAAAAGTTCGCGAGAAACAAGATGATGCCACTGGTTTTCTCTGAAATCAACTTCCAAGCTTAAAAAAGCTCTCAAGTTGAGGCCAAAATGGAGGGGATATCCCACGCTATCCTGAGAGTCTACCTCTACATCAAAACAAACTCTCCATGCAAAGGGAGCAAATACATTAGCAGTGATGCCGGGTTTTCAGTTTTAGAGTCCCCAAATAAAGTGGCAGCTCTGTCAATGTATTTACTCCCTATCTTTACATAGAGAGTTATCTTGATGTAGAGGTGGACTCTCAGGATAGTGTGGGATATCCCCTCCATTTTGGCCTCAACTTGAGAGCTTTTTTTGAGCCTGGGAGTTGATTTCAGAGAAAACCAATGGCACCATCATGTTTTTCGCGAACTTTCACATAAGAATCAATTGTCAAATCGCAAATCCCTCACACATGCAACATCTCCATTAATCGATTGATTTATAACCATCACTTGAAATTGCTCGATACGATAATTTTGTTTTTCTTTCACGCTCCGCTTAACCCTAGTCTGCCTGAGTGAGGTCACATTGACCCCACGGGAGTTTTAACTCTTTGCCATTTCTCGTGGTATGCACAAAATTTTTTGTCCTCCACTAATAGCTCTACAAAAACATCTAGGAACACGATTTTGAAGGGGAAAAAAAAAAATAATAAGCATGAGAGATCAAAAAATTCACGAGTACCCCTAGAAAGCCTGAGCGGGGTCAGATATCCTTATATCATATATTTTACCATTTAGCATCACAAAAGCTTACTTTGAGGGTGTATTCATATTTCTCTTTTTAATTTTTTTCAGAAACTTATAAAACAAGCAAAATTTTTCAGATTTTTTTCGTTTTCAGTATTTAGTAGCCCTATGATTTTTTTTTCTCATGCTGAGAACAACATGGCAACATGTGTATGATAAAATGGTTGCATACCCTGCGCCGTGTTTTTTAAAACTTAGATATGCTTTATGGTTAAGGCCTGTAAGGTTAGTGCACTGATATTAACTAAAAACATGAAAAAAAAACATAGCTAACTAATTGATTTTCAGCTGGGGTCAAATTGACCCCGCTCAGGCTTTCTCGTTGGTTCAGAGGCTCAGGCAGACTAGGGTTAAATGGTTTTTTTTTTTTTTCATTTTTCTTTTTTTTCTTCTTTCTTGGAGGTGGGCTGAGAATAACTGCTATTACCTAAAATGTCCTGTTGAGGCGCCCACGGGTGCACCAGCACGTTTGCAGACGGTTTGAAGGAGGCTGATTCTTTCCAGTTGAACACAACCCGCTGCTTTAAACGCCCCAGCGCAGTGATTATGGACTGAAATCTCCTGGCTCCCAATGTTTCATCGTCCACCATTGAGCCTAGATAGAAGTAAATAACTCCGTGATTTGCCTCGTCCATGAATTTTTGTAGGCTCTGAAATCCAAAAAATCCGGTTCATTTCTCCCAGTCTGCGAGCAAAATTTTGCTCGTCAAGTGCGCGGGAAGACAAATTGATATCGTCCTTTGCCCTGACATTTAATTGTGATGAGTGTTGCGTCGATCACAGCTAAACGGCTCGCAGCGCGCGCAAGGGAGCAGCATCGCAACCACGAGATTGGATCGATAGAGTTCGGGTGGTTTCAAGTGGCGTGGCGGCCAAAAACACTGCTCATCAGATACGCGCGATTGCTCATCCGCTTTCGGTCAGATTTTTGGCGACTTTGTGAGCCTTTTTCTGAGCTCAAATTGGATGAAAGAGAAACGGAAAGATCGCATAACTTTAATTTTTACCAAATTGTTTTTATTTATTTGGATGCGGCTCAAAAAGTACTAATAATTCCTCACCTTTCAGCCGTAGTATCACAAGCGCCATGCTACGTTTCAAAATTTCCGCCAGAGAATTTTAGTCAAAACCGCAACTTCATAGCTCAATTTTAATGCCACTTACGGAATTTGCCTGTTTCCAACTCGGCAACGCTGCAGCACGCGGGAAAATTTTCGGGTGAACTTGCCAATGCGGGAAAAAGGCGTGTCTTGTGCTAGGGAACAACATATCCAACTCCAGGCAAAATCCAAGCGTAGGGCAAAATTGCCGATTTTGAATAACCCTCTTTTCACGAAAATTTCATTTAATCGGCAACGCAAAGAAAATTCAGTGAAATTTTCGGACAACTTTGTTGAAAAATATCTCTGTAAAAATATAAAATCGCGGCGGAAATTTTTAAACGTCGCTTGGCACTTGTGATGTTTTGGCCGGAAAGTTACAAATTGGTGTTATAATCACAGCTCTGTCTTGGTAAAGAAAAACTCAGACTGTGAGCTCTGTAATAATGGACTTATAAGATAGGTGGTACGCTCCGGGCTCTAAAACCGGAAGTTCTGGGAGCTGTATGTAGCTTCGACTGATCCGGGTTCAATGGTCGGAACTATTGTCTTTTGGGTCCAGAACGGACGGTATGTCTAAATCCCATATAATGGACTATTAGACGGGGCATGAGTTGGGTGAATTTTTACGTATCTTGCAAGAGGGTTTCAGGACATTTTGTCAACGATTTTTTGTCCGCGCGCCTTTCTCGTCCAGTAGTTTACGCCCACATGTAAAATAAGCAACAGTGACTTGGTCCATGCGTTATATTTTAGTCGGTATGTAAAATTATATTGACAATATGGAAATGAGAAATTGAGAGAGAAAGAGGTGTTGTTATGGTTGCTCATTTTCTAAATGAAATGTTATTACTTTCTCCTTTTGAATAATCTTTTAAAATTGTCGTTGGTGAATATTTGGTTTTATTTCTATCCTTAAAATATTGAATGTATCATATACTTTATGTATGTATTGGTACTTTTTTTATATTTTTCTTTACGAAATTATTACTACATTTTGAAAACATTTATATTTTCAAAACGTGACAAATATTTGCAAAACCTTTTCCAAGCGACATTAATCTCAATGAGCCGCAGTTGTGCCGACAGAAACTGCAAAAATGAATAAAAGAGGAAAAAGGAAACCAAGGAGCACGCAATCTTTAATTTTAACCCATTTGTGCATCGATCTTTTAGAGTCAAATACGTCAAATTTCGATCGTTTCGTTGCGCGTGCACCTCGCTGCAGCACAATAAAAGCACAAAATGTAAAAGAAAAATTCAAGTGCTTTGGAAATCATTAAATTCGACACGGAACCACCAATATTTAAAAAATACACATTATATTATCATCCTCCCTTGATAAATTGATACATATTTTTTCCCCATCAATTTAAATGAGAATAATCAATGCAGAGTGTGCGAACGTTTTAAAATCATGAGTTAAAAAACGCTGACCATGCGAGTATAAGTATTAAAGCCGAACAGAGCGGAGCGGCGTGCTGCCAGCGCGAGAGGCTCACTGGCGCCTACAAACCTAAGTGGATACTTCACGCATTGCACAATGCTTGAAGTATCCGCTTAGGTTTGTAGGCGCCAATGCGCGTTCGGCGCCAACGGCTTCTGGGGCTGGAGTTTTTTTCCAATACAGAGAAAAAATCTATAAGACTCACTGTAGGCAGCGGTTTGGGGGGTTTGAGATGGAAGCCGCCGACCTCGACCATGTTAGGTGCCATCGGTCGGGCTCGGTTCATGGAAAAATGGGTGTTGACGAGGACGAGGGAAACGTTGGTGAGGAGCTTTCGGAGCGGGGGCAGGTGCTCGCAGGGGGGTTGACAGAGGTGTCGGCGCATGAGGGCGTCCTGCCGCGGAACCTGGTACAGGTACTCGCCGATGAGGTTCCACGAGCAGAGCAGCGTGTTCTGGAGCCGGCCCCAGAAGCTCATCTTGCTCGATAACGGCAGCAGCGTCGAGATCATCGTCGAAAAAGGGAACGGGTTCCCTGTCAGGCCTGCGAAACATACCAGTGATCCATGGATGTAAATAGAGTCCCTATATACTCCAGAGCGTGGCTTGAATGATCGATTATCAATATCTCGCCATTTGAAGATATGGTAAAGAATCGATTACTAAGGTGTTCGGTGCGAACACCCTGGAAATCGATCTTTTTTCATAGGTTTGAATGGCATATCAATCGATATATCGCAGAGCACGCCACGCCACTGATATACTGAGTTTACAATTAAACACATATCAAAAAAGCGGGTAACAAGGCTAAAATTGCGACCGCACTGTTTGGCGCAATGCGTGCAGTATTCCTACAGTCTTGCAGGCGCTGATATGCGTTTAAGGCCGCGCGCGCCGGTCTCACTACTTTTCGCGCGATTATTCGAACTCGCGGAAGAATAATCGCGGTATCAAATAGAATCTAATCAGAAATGGAGTCGTACTGTCTTTAAACTCGGTATATGAGATGTAGTAGACACTCCGCAGCCCGTGACAATATACAACGATAAATCTCAATTTCAAAAGTGGGTAACAAGGCTACAATTTCACGAATGAAACCAAAACGTTTCGGCTGAATACTCAGATATCCTCAGTTGGATAAATAAAAATAAAAATGGTAAAAAATCTAAAATAATACCTGGATGTTGTTATTACCTAGCTTTGAAAGGCTTTCAGTGCTTTCTCACTTTGAAAGGTACAGCCAGGTGCTATTTTAGATTGTTTACAATTTTTCTCTTCATTTATACAACGAAGAATGGCTGAGTTTTCAGCCGAAACGTTCTGGTTTTATTCGTGTAATTTTAGCCTCGTTAACCACTTTTTAAATTGAGATTTATTGTATATCTTTTCACGGGCTGCGGAGCGTCTATTATATCTTATATACTGAGTTTAAAGACGGTACGAATCCATTTCTGATTAGATTCTATTTGATGCCGCGATTATTCTTCCGCGAGTTCGAATAATCGCGCGAAAAACAGTGCGACAGGCGCGGCTTTAAACGCATATCAGCGCCTGCAAGACTGCAGGAATATTTCACGCATTGCGTCAAACAGTGCGGTCGGCGTCGAGCGCATATCAGCGCCTACAAGACTGCGTGAATACCTCTCGCATCGCGTCAAACGTCGAGTCCCTTTATACTGAGAGTAAAGACAATGCGAATTTATTCTGATTGGGTACCGTTTTTTAGGCCCCCACGGTGTCACAAATGGGAATAAAGATTACATTTCACCAATTGCAAAAATTATAAACTGGAATGGACCGGCAAATTCGCGGCAAGGAACAGACGGAATGAGAGAGGGAACGGAGACAGGAATTTGGGAATGAGTTGATCAAAGATTACGAAAAACGTTCAACTTGTGTAATCTTTTTCTCGTTTGTGACATTTACGAACCGTTCTGTCTCAACTCTTCCTGTAAAGATACTCAAATATAAACTAGGTCCCCTGACCGCTACACGACTAAACCTCCGAGAGTGGCGCGTCATACTCTCCGGGATTTGCTTTGCGGAACGTCATTTGATTTTTGGACTGTCTAAGGGAGAGAGGACCATAATAAATATAAATTCTAAGTTAAAATAAGGAGAAAGCAAAAAATTGTGGCCCGAGTACTGTTTATCTGCGAGAAATCATGGCCAAAAAAACAAAATGAACTCTGTGGTGCGTTCCAGTGCAAGACTCAGAGGGGCATGCAGAGTGTTCTGCTCAAGTATGCATTGGAATACTAAACTGTGGGCTGATTGTTGAAATCGATAGACAAAGCAATAGACAAAGAAGACATAGGGAGTGTGGATCTATCCTATATTGGTTGAAATGGGTGGTTCCTGTAGACTAAGGGAGAAAATGATGGACTATAATTGTCGGGTCTCCGTTTGGGTTTTCGTTAGTTAGTCTATTACCTTCTTCCTTTGTCCATTGCAACCACCCGCTTCCACTAAGAGGATCCCTCCATATCTCTATTGTTTTTTTTTCTATAGCTTAGTCTACCAATTTCAACGATTAGCTCGCTGAAGTCACGCCGAGAGATCTATACCCGTTTGGGTACTATAAGACCTCATCAGTAATAGATCACACTCGTCAGTGAGTCCAAATCCTAGACGGTATTGCAATGATTCTGGAATTTTGGTCTTGATTTCCACGTACACAAAGCAACTTTCTACCCTCCTGTTACTTAAAGATAAGTAACTGATCTCAAAATACAAGAGATTTGCTTCTTTTGAACTTTTGGGGTATTCAAAGCCAAAAAGTTGCAAACCAAACAGGGGTTTTGGCGTTTTCAAGTTTGTTCGATCAATATTTTCCATGAAAAGCTATTTTTAAAAGAATAGTCTGCTCTGTTTTGGAAAAAAATATTGCCGGATTATAATGTGACTTCTTACTCTCAAAGTCTGAAGGTTAGGTTTCTTGCCAGCTGAAGATGTATGTAATAAAGTTCTTATAAACAGAAGACTACTGCTGTCGAATAAAGGATTACCAATGAATTTTTACTTTCATTTTTAAAAAATGTTCTATTACTTGCAGTGAATGTAGAAGGCGCTGTCGCACTAAGGTCTATCACAGATGCGTTAAATCTGCTGCCCAAAGCTAGGAGACAAGTCTGAAAGAAGCTCAAATCAGCTAAGACAACGTCATAATGTGAATCTGACATCATTAACTCTTGTACTTCTCTTGTGGCTAAGGCTCTGTCCAATTTTTCACGCATTTTATTCCATCTGTGGTAGGAGTATTGAAACGCATTCATGCCACCATGATCTACCAGGTTCCGTTCTGAGACAATAATCGAAATAAATACTTTAGAGGCTTAACAATCTTACATTTCAGTCAGTACTTACTTATTAATACTAGGTATATTTTAATCATAACTCATGCAAAGTTATTATTCAATTTTTTTTCATTTACCTTTGCCCTGACTGCTGTAAGATTTTGGACTTCCACACACACCTTTTTTCATGCAAAAATTCGTCCCTCCTCTGACGAAAGGATGTAACTCCATTTCAGAGTTGCAAAATTGACTCAAATAATTTAATTTTCTATGTGAATGTACTGCTTGTGCAATATTTGTCCAAAATTTCGTCGATTTTGGCATGATATTTGGTAGATAAAAGGTTGAATGGTCACAAATGCTCTTAATTCAAATTCAATTATTATGTACTCATTCAGGGCAGCAAGGGTGGTGTAATAAGGTGTTCATCAGATTTAATGATCGACATGATCGTCTACCTTCTGGTATATCATTGAAAATGTTAATATCGATGATGATCTCCTGGAAAATGGGGATCTCTTTCGGATAGGGAGAGAGAACGGTAACTTTGTGACCCCTGCGGACAAGTTCCTCAGCCAGTACGACGTTGGTTGTAAAATGGCTTTTGGTTGGCATGGGAAGAGCAAACAGGAAACTGTAGGCCTCACCATCGCAGGGTGACTGAAAAAAGACCGCAGTCCAGAAGCACGCCCAAAAAAAGACATGCCTCTTAATCATGCTGGAAAAGCAAAAACGAAAGACGAAGAATAAATCAGAGTTATTCGCTTAAGAACTGAACTATTTATATGCAGCTTCAATTTTGTATTATTTATACAACAATTTTGACCTGTCTGAATGCAAGCAGTTATACTCATTATAATTATTATAGGGCGAATGATGTCAAATTGTAGTAAAACTATGATAGCTTAAGTTGAAAAGTACATATTTCCACTGCAATTTTTCAAAATCACCAGATATGTGTTGTTTTTGGGATAGACAAACCAACATATCTCCATAAAATATGCTGTAAATATTCATAAATAACTGCAGAATATCCACAAAATTTACAAGAAAAAGCCAGTTAAATGATTCGCAACGACGTAATCGCAAATACGTGCTCTGTGCGGCTTTAGTCAATATTCCTGACGAACTTCGAAAAACCTAGTATATTTATACATTTCATGAGATTTATAGACGGTGCATGGAGGGGTCATGAAAGAACGTCTTATGAGCCTTCTGACGTTGTTAACTTTCTCGTGATAAACCAAAAATAACTGTCAAGGAAACTTGTGAATATTTATTTTCTAATTTTTCAGAGAATATGATTCGTAATCTACTTTAAAGTAAAAGAATAATTCAAGATAAAATGTGTACTTGATTTTTCTAATAAAAATAATATTTTATCCAGAGAATTTGGCAACATGCAAATATTCATACGGACTTTTTAGGTACAGCAGCATATGACTACTGAACGTTTGATAGCAGTTTCGTAAAGTCACTGGACAAGAAATGAAAATTTCTTTTGATTTCATACGCTCGATATGCATAACTATATGTTTGTTTTTACGCCTGCGGCCTGAAGCTTGTATATTTATAATTTAAAATAAGTAAAATTCAATGAATGAAAAACACGATGAAAAAAATAAAGAAACAAATCTTATCATATTCAGCAAAGAACTTGCACGTAATTCGGATGTTGGCTCAGAGAGAGTTATTTGATACTCATCATCGGGTGAAACGTCTCTAGGTTATGTAACACCATATCGAACCACAAGTGCGCGAGTAATTTTAATCAAACAAGGAAGCTCAATCTAAATTTTCTACTTACATTTATTTTTTCATGGATGAATTGGTCAACCTTTCTCCTTGTACTCGCGAGAAAAGCTCACATCATTAGGACATCCAAATCCCATGAAATTGGGGTAGGATGTTTCGCTGAGGTTAGATTTGAGTACCAATCGCATTTCGATATAACCTGCTATCTTCCCTCTTAAAATCTACATCTAACTATACCAGTTGATGGACATACGAAAAAGTTCACTTCAACTCTCAAATTCACTCAAGTCGTATTAATTAATGAAGGAAAAATAAGTTATATCAGACATTCACGACCGTGTACCAAATGAAATTCAGTGCTGCCATTTTATTTCATCCGAGGATTCCGAAATAATTCCGATTTTTGGAAACATATTCCGACTTAAGTTCCAAGAAAAATTCCAAGACACACCCGGATTTATTTCGAAGATCGTCAAATTTGAGCAAAAAGTACCTAAATTTGACCAAATTAATGGTCAAACTAACGAAAAGCCGCAAGTTTCGAGGAAATTCCGAAAATAGCTGAAAATTCTGGGGATTCAGAACATTCCGGGAAAAGTTCCGATTACTTAAAAAGTTCCGAATTTCGAAATCAATTCCGGTAAATGGCAGCACTGATGAAATTTGGGTATTTTGATATCATTGTGCGTAGGATCAAGTGGGATCAGCTGACGTAAAAGCATTAATTTATCAATCCATCAAAGCAAGAAGTGGCAGGACTTTCCATCACGATCTCATCAGTATCAGTGGCACGAGCTCATCACCAAGATTGTTTGACAGCATGAGCAGGAATAAAACTACACTCGCCTTGTGATAAAAATTAATTGCAAATGGAGTGCCTTCGAAATCAGACGATACGACAAGTCGCACATAGCCGAACACTTTCGCACACACAGGATGACGCTCGACTCGCTTACTGTATTAGCTGCTCCCTGTGGCGTGGCGTGAATTGCGATGTATCGAGTGTTATGCCATTTAAACCTGTGGTACAGAATCGATTATTAAGGTGTTCGCTGCGAACACCCTGTTCATCGATCCTTTTCCATAGGTTTAAATGACAGACCAATCGATATATCGCAAAGCACGCCATGCCACTGGCTGCTCCCTGTCAGCGGGGCTCCAGGGAGCACGGGACCACCAGGATCGGATTCTTTGGGGGTAGATTACCAATTCTGCCATGCTAAGGAAGAATACCGTATGACCATTCAGCTGTTGCCAAATTTCCTCCGATAAGATATTTATTTATGAGGAAAGTTATGGATATTGATCCTTGAAATTTTCAGATGTTTTAGGTTGAATTGTGAACAAAATTGTCTGAAAAATGGGAGGCAAAATATTCGGAACTCTCCCGGCAAATTATTTTTTCCACTGAAGAAAATATGGCAACGTCTGAAGGCTCATACGCCGTTTTTCCCTTGCAAGGCAGCATTTCGCCCGGGCCTCTGCTTCAATTTATTTACCTACCATTTTTTCGAAGAGGGCTCCGTCCCAAACCTCAGGAATCAAAATGTCGGACAAAGATGGGCCACTTCCAGACTTTTTGGTATCGATTTAGGTCAAAATTTGTCCTCCTTTATGATGTTGTTTAAATAGTTTTAAAATTGTGACGGGTGTCCAATTTCCTATGTTTTGGACTCCCTCCCGCTTTACTTTCCAAAGAGAACCGAAGAGGTTTTGAAACGATAAAATTCATATTTCTGGGAGTCATCTCTAATCTTTACGTCATAGACTTAAAAGCGCAAAAGCGAGCTGGTAGTAACACTCAATCGCTCAAGTCGCTTTGCTCTTGCGCTTCTTAAACCCTCGGCCCTCTAACTTCGAAGGCTATCCATTCGGATGCACTTTTGCTCCTTCAACTATCCCTTCTCATACTTCTTTTTCTTCGTTTAACGAAAGCATACTAGTAGACTTGAATGAATCATTAAAATAATATTTGGTTCTCATCTTATGTCGGAATTATCACGGCAGATTTTGAAGTGTTCACATTGGTTTGTGCACACAACACAATTAGACAGTGGAAAACTCGCAAAGAAGTAAATTGATGTATGCATGTTTTTTCTCTCACAGTCAGTTTGGAATACAAGGGGGCTAAGCCCCCTGGCCGCTACGCAGCACAACCCCTTGAGGGCGCTTCGCGCGTTCTTTTAGACCCGCTTCGACAAAAGAACGACCAAAAAAAAAAAAAAAAAAAATGAAGAGATTTTCATACCCGGCTCTCATTCGTTCAATATCCCTATGGCCGGGAGCGATTGGACCAATAAGAATCGTATGAAAAGAATCGTAATTTATTCCAAACTTCACGCCGATACCAAAAAGGGGACGGAACGGAGCGTTTCGTCGCTTTTGGATATATGGATTAAATTTTGCAATAAAGAACCACTATCTCCGGCTCTCCCATAAAAGCACATATCTGCGTAGGGAAACCAATGGCATGTATGTTGTTTCTAAAATAGGACAGAGATAGTGGTTCCTTATTGCAAAATGTAATTCATATAGTCTGTAGGAAAGGAGCGTACCTTCGATTCACTAACCATACCATTGCTACTGTCCTATTGACAGACCAAGATTCAAAATTTCCCGCATTGTTCAATTTCCCCAGCAGTTCCCACCATTTTTCAGTGGCGGGAATTTCCAATTTCGCCCCCTTTCCAAATAGCATTATTTAGTCCATTTTCGCCATCTTGGATTTTGGAATTTTGAAAATTTGACATTTGCGTCAAAAAAAACCTCCAGGCACCAAGTTTCACAAATATCGATCGAACAGGGGCCTTATGTCGTAGGATCAGTGGTCTCTACACAGTGGTAGATGATAACAGTCAATTTACGTATACGGCAGCGCGCCTTCATTTTCATCTGATACAGTGCAATACTTCCATGGCGGAATAGTTGCTCAGAGCGCCTTCAACGGTATCGCCTCCACTTGATGGCGGAAAATGACGATGTCCGCTGAAATTACTCCCTAGCGCGTGCGCAGCTACGCATTTTCTCATCGCCGATGGTGTAGTAAAAAACATATGTTCTATATTTACAAACAAAGTGTTCAGTCTCTCCGTAAAAATTAAGTTTTAAATCTTGAAAAAGGCATGATCCATTTGTGGCTACTGCGAAATGTTTTGGAAGCTTGAGATGAAATTAAATGATTTGTTTCATTAGTTAGATCATTTATTGGAAAAAATAGTGATGAATCAACATGAAGCATCTATTCGAGTAGAAAAATCACCGGAAAACGTTGATATCTAACAGGTTTTTCTTTGAAGTTGATTTCTACGCCTCCTGCAGGTGAATTTGTGTTTGCCCTTCAGTCCTCATCCGTTTCATATTCAAAGCTCTTTAGAATTTCGTAATCATCATCTTCATATGTTTGTAATTCGTCGTCATCATCTTCTTTCGAGTTTTCTGGTGGGTCGTTTTTAATATAGGAGAGAACGAGGCCAGACTTCGGAGGCATACTCCAGTTGTTTGATCGCAGTCGATCGAAACACAAAGACACGGTCCTAAAAAAACAACAATAAAACACAAACTGACAGAGGATCTATTACAATAAAAGCGAGGTTAACTCATAATCAAATATATACCGCGCATTCAGAAAATTACCTATGATTTTTTTTCTGATCCTAAAAATTTTCATTTTGACAGTAGTTGTCAATTTCTCTAAGATATTGAAACTCGGGTTTCAAATATTTCTCTAATCTTGTACTACCAAGTACATTCAGCAGCCAATGCTAAGTAAAATTCTGACGGTGCGTATCAAACGCAATATTTGATTTAATGAACGACAAGATGCAATGATCAATATTCATGGCCAAAGTCGCAATACGCGTATCTCAGATTCTAACGTTCTAAGATTCTGCTCGTGTTTTATCTTCTTAAAAAAACCAATCAACAACTTCCATTGAATTTTTTGAGAACTATACGAATAACGTCATTTAAAGTGCAACTTGTTTTGAAGAAGGCTCATATTTCGTAGTGCTTTGATTCATACCTTGTCTAGTGGTAGCTATTATAGTGTGCCTCACACGTAATTGGTGATTTTTAAACGTCGCAATTGATTTACGTATTTTTCACAATTAGATATTAATATTTTTTTGGTTACATGTATTCCCAACCGAAAAAATCTAGGATGAATGTGTTAAACCATGTACCTCGACTTGCGATCTTGCAAATCTACTCGGAAATTGTACGCTTTTGAAGAAAGTCGTACTATCGGTTTTGCACAATTTTTTTTTCGATTTTACTTTGTTCTTTGAACAACATTCTCTGAGATATGCGCTAAAATGCTCTTGAATAAATTATTATGGGCAAAAATCTTCAGACGCCGCAATCGAAGTCCACCGTTCAGTAATTTCACTGTAAATATATTAGCGAGCCGAAAGAATTGCCTTTGAGCCTTTTCCCAAGACTCTCCATAGAGATTTGTCCTGGTTTTTTGACTCCATCCAACAATGCGTTGGTACTTCTCCACGGTTTTGTATTCCTCTGTTCAATAGTTTCCCTTGCATTTACATGAAAACAAAATATGGCTCCTTAAAAAAAAAAAAAAAAAAAAAAAAAAAAAAAAAAAAAAAAAAAACTCAATCAAATAAAGTATCAAATCATCATATAGGGTTTCTGTGTCGCAAAAATAGATTCTTGGGGACTTCTGACTGCAACCGTTGCTGCTGACGATCTTAAGTATGCTTCGGTTCTTTCATAAAACCCGTCGATGTGTATCTTATAGTTGGGGAATATTTAGATTGATACATACGTGTTCTTTTTGCATTCGTTCAAGTTCGGGGTCCAAACTTCCACATTGTCGCTGATGGCATGTGTCAATTCTGGAATTGCATCCATGATGTCAAAAGATTCGCTCCACTCTTCATCCAAGTTCATCAATGTGACATATATCTTTTTGGAGTTTTCCCTGAAACGAAGAATCGAGAAAGCAATTTAGCTTGAAAGTTGACTAGCATGCAGTCATAAATGGAAGCCATATCTTCTAGGCACAAAGTATGGATTTATTGGTTTTTCATCAGGGAATAAAGATACTTGTGTCCAATTAAAGAAAAATCGGTCGAATTACTTTAAGATTTGGATTTATCGAGGAAATCATGATTGTTTTTCTTCGAACAATGTTTTGTATAAACTATCTCTTGTATGACTTTTAAGGTATTTGAAATATTGGATCAAGTTTCAAACAGCCGCTAAAGGCATCCAGAATGCCCATTCAAAAATCTTGGAAGACGATAACAATTACCCGATACAATCAATCGCCATTTATCACGAATTACAATTCGTGCGAATTACAATTGGATTGCATTTTGCAAAAAGAAACCACTAGCATTGCAATGTTGCTAAGATTGTGCAACTTCTTTTGTCTTGGAGGAAAATCCCGATTATCTATTAATAGTTTCTATTTTACTCGCTAAAAACTGTAAATTTAAGACAAAAATTACCATCTAAATTTCATAGTTTTTCACGATTTCCGTATAATTTTATTGCAAAAGATGAAGTTGCACAATCTTAGCATCATTGCAATGCTAGAGGTTCCTTTTTGCAAAATGCAATCCAATTAGTCCTACAGGACTACTGACTACCTGCTCACCTGGTAAAACAGAAAACAAAATCGGTGAGAGCGTAGGTATGTAAAGGTCCATAAGCAAAAGCATCTTTCTTTTTGAGCTGGACTAGTTCCTTGAAATTTCTCAAATGGGTAGAACATTCCTCGCAAGGTGGGTTGCGTTCTACCTCTACATTCAACCTGTAAAACTCGGGATTTACAGGAAGCCAAGGTTTTTCTTTCGTTGTAAAACCTGTATTCAACAAAAAATAACTCGTTAACCAAAATTACATACGATAGATCTATCAAAAATGTTCAAAAAGAAATCAACATTTTTACATGACTTACTAATTTTGGTAACGTTCAAACTTCTGTTAACAATATTGACACATGTTCATTCCGTCATTGGGGTAACTGGTGATGACATCACCAGGCAAAATATGATGGCGTCAACGCCATCATATTTCAATTGTAATAGCGACCATTGCGCCATCAGAGCACCTTTTGGTGACGTCACAGTAAAATTCGTTGATGCTGTCAAATCATCTTCAATATCCAAGTTTTCATTAGTTAAAAAGACATTTTCTTAATACACAAATGCCTCAGCAGATGTATTTTCAACTTTTTTACTGCCTGCATGTTTTTATTTGAGGACTTGTGTCACATGACGGCGGCCATTTAGTTTCGCGTGAAGGCTCTATCGATTTAAAGAAATTATGTTTGTAGGAGGGAAGTCAAAACTGAGCCAATTTATTGCGTGAATTGTGAAGTTAGGATTAAACTCCAGATTTTCCTATAGTGAAAATGTGCCGGTTTAGACCGGACTGATCCGGATCAGATCAGTGGCGTGGCGTGCTTTGCAATATATCGATTGATCTGTCAGTTAAACCTATGGAAAAGGATCGATAAACATGGTTTTCGCAGCGAACACCTTTATAATCGATCCTTTACCATAGGTTTAAACGGCATAACAATTGATGTATCGCAATTCACGTCACGCCACTGCATCAGGTCCGGCTAAGTTTAGGGTGCTTTATGAAACACCTCCTACCTGCCTGACTTTAGCTAACTTCGGACTGACGTCAGGCGGTTTCAAGCTGACGTCAAAATGATTCATTAAGCAGCTATCCTCAGCCTGAATAGGCTTGACGTAATCTGACGCTCATTATTACTAAGGCAATACGTCAATCGTGATTTTTTAGTCATATTTCTTCATGCAAAACTCTTTTTTGGCTCTTGCAAAAGTTTGCAACGGAAACATTAATCCCTTAAAGACTGTTATAAAAATATCAGTAGAAAAACAAGGGAGGAGAATGGGGAACAAGGCTAAAATACACAATTAAAAAAAAACCGAGATGTTTCGACTCAAAACTGAGTCATTTTCAGTCGGAAATACAATGAAAATGTAAAATAATTATGAAAAACCTTAGCTCTACATGGTGGTGGCCGAGATCTGAGAACCACCACCACGTAGGGCTCATGTTTATCATAGTTTTTTTAAAATTTTTATTGTAACACTTCCGACTGAAAAGGACTCAGTTTTGAGTCGAAACGTCTCAGTTTTTTTAATTGTGTATTTTAGCCTTGTTTCCCGTTTTCCCCCTTGTTTTTCTATAGTTACCATTGTCTCGGGCTGCTCTATAAAAATTTGTATCTATAAATATATCTATATGTGATGCACAGGGTGATCAAAAAGTCTCGCACCATCCCTGTTACCCTCATAGATCTTGTCCCTTTGCAGAGGAATCCCCATTGAGCTTTGGGGGTCCTAAAAGTCGTTTCCTTCGTCCTAAGGAGCACTCACACAAATTCAAGTCTCTATCTCAATTTGTTCATGTGTGACAAGAGTGTTGATGCTGGTGCTAGTGGTACTGGACTTTTGGATCTCTCTTTATATTTTATTTCTCCTTCACTGGAAAAAAGCACATTGGATCTAGAGTCCAGATTCTTAAAAATATCGACCAGAAAAAGTACTCTTGATTCAACCAGAATCTAGCTTAAATCAAGAACCAAAGCCTCTTAATTTAAGCGGATTTCGTATTGATTCAAGCAAAAATCTGATTGATTCAAAAGTATTTTTTCTTGTCAATGTTTTCAAGAGTCTGGACTCTAGATCCAATGTGTTTTTTTCCAGTGTTTTGTCTTCCTCTGTCATATTTTTGGTTTAAGCAGTAGCAAACCTGCGTTTTGACTTTTGTTCCAATGGAAGGGTGTTCTACTGGGCATACGATAGTCGTCGACATGCTTGGATCGGCGCTTGTCCTTGTCGATGTTCCAATAGCTGTCCATGCCTATCTCGTCTCCCATGTACACGCAGCTTGAGCCAGGCAGAAGCAAGTTCAACATGTTGACCAAATCTACAGAAGTGGAGGCCTCCAATCTGGATGGGATTCGTGACCAGTCGTGGTTTCCTGACTGAAAAAAAATGGTCACCGATCCACAAAGCAAACGATGCGTGTTAAAATGTGATTAAAGTAGTGCCAAACATAGTTGGTGAACAGAACCAACAATTTTGGTGGGCTGCATCAACTGGATTAAGTGGGATGAAATCAGCCATACTGCTAGTGTAGATCACCAACTTTTTCCTCTTTTTAAAGTTTCTTTTTCCATAGGCGGTCATATTGATGGCCAAAGTCAGAAAATGCACATCTCTATGGACAACATTAAAACATTTCCTCGCATGTTTTACTTTTTAAAAGAAAACTGACCGAAACTCTTCCTTGAAATTTTTAGAATACATTTTCGGACAAATGAAGAATTTTTTTATGAATAAGAAATATATGCAATTATTATGATCAGAAATCAGCGAAGTCACATCTATCAGACCACGTTAAACAGAAGTAAACCTAGCCACATCAGCTATTGTCAAATGCAATCGGGCAATTAGGTGACTTTTTTACATGAAAACGGTTGTGCGGATTTTAGTACTTTCAGTGAATTTTCTGCATATTCTCTTGTAAAAAATTAAACTGCGCAGTTAACTTTGGCAACAGCTGATGTGGCTTGGTTCCTTTCTGCCAAACGGGGTCCAAAAAGAGCTGGGGATGTTTTTGCCTTCAGTCATTGGTATATTGTTTTCAACGAGAGTAAGAAAAATCGGAGCCCTCACCAACCAGTTGGGAAGCTGGAAATCGTTGAGGTGACGTAAGTAATCGTCAATGGAGCCTTTCAGTCTGACAGCGTCCGTGTCTGCTGTGAAATCTGTGAGGAGAAGATAGTTGAGGGGATAGTGGGCACCAGGTGCTTTAAATGTGCCGTAGTACCGTCTCGCGTCTTTTTGCGATGCGTATGCATCCACCGCCATGAATCTGCCGGTAAAAGTATTAAAAGAAAAAAAAAAGTATTATAAGTACTAAGTAAAAGTATTAAGTATAAAAAGTATTAAAGTATTAAAGAAAAATATAAAACAGTATAATAATGATACGGTGTCAAGGTAGCTCCAGGGTAAGATTGGTATATCGACGGTGTAAGTCGTCAATCGCACATAACTCGGTTTGCGACGTCGCAGACTTCCTGTCATGCTTAATTTTTTTAAAGGAAAAACTCTTCAACGGCACTTCGTTAAAACTGCCGTGATTTTTCCTCTCTGTGTGAAAAAAATCCTGCAAAAACTTCCAGGAATGAAGTCAATTTGTTCTCCTTTAAAAAAATAACATGGAGGCGGAGATTTTCAGACACCGCAAACGAGATAATGTGATTGCATACTTATACCGTCAATATGTCGCAGGCAAGTAGCAATCACCGGCAATCTGCAATTGGTTCACGTGTTTTTTCAATAAATCGCAATATTGCGCATCGGTAAAATGAAAGAGGGTTATGCAAAACGGCCAAAAAGTGACCCCGCGGGGATTGTACGAAACTTTGTGGGATGATTGTATAGGTCATTTTGGGCCTACATCTGGCTGCTTTTAGGCGAAAACCGCAGGGAAACAGCGTTGCCATTTTTTAAAGTCGTAACCTTCAAACATCCATAACTTTCGCAAAAATGCAGTCACAGAGCTCGTATTTATACCAAAAAATGCAGAAAATTTTGCTCTATCGACCTATGCAGAAGAAAATTTTATTTGAGTCCACTGTTGCCACGTTTTTGCCATTTTTTCAATTTTTATAATGATTAAAAATCACGTTATCGCCTAAAAGTGTGTTTGAAGTTGGTGGAGATTGAATAAAAACCTGTCAGAATTATTGTTCGTTCGATTTCGCATCCATTGATATGTTATACTTTTTTGAGAGACTTAGGGAATCCGAGTTACAGCGATTTAAAAATTCGGCAACACGCCCGACGCCCGATTTTGACGCTCGTTTAAGTACGTTTCGCGACTCCGTGTTGAAGCAAAACGCCTAGACAAAACAAAATTCGAAGAGCCAGTTCATGTTTTACGCTTTTTTGAAACTTTTACGTCGTTTTTAGAAATTCAAGTAGCGGCGGTGTTGCCGGTTTTCAATGAAAACCACCGCTGCGATCACAATTGAAAGTGGTACTCATTTGATCACATCTAGCTACATTGTTTACCCTAAACTGACCGTTTATGACATGATGTTCACAACGTCGCCTAATTTCCGTCGGAATTCGCGTAGAGGCGGGGTTGCCAATTTTCAAGGAAACCGCCGCCGCAATCACACAAAAAATGTATCACTCATTTAATCACGTTCAACCTTATTCTGCAGTTGGAATTGTCGATTTATTGAATCGATGGTTTCTTCTATCTCTTTGCAACGGCACTGGTTCCCGACAATAACGAGATATCGAATTTTTAAGCTACCGAATCACTCAAACGGTCTGATGAGTAGTTTTTGCAAGGGACCTAGATCCATTGATCTTGATCTCGATACAATATCGATATCTCGTTGCTGTCGGGAACCAGTGCCGTTGCAAAGAGATAGAAGAAACCATCGATTCAATAAATCGACAATTCCAACTGCAGAATAAGGTTGAACGTGATTAAATGAGTGATACATTTTTTGTGTGATTGCGGCGGCGGTTTCCTTGAAAATTGGCAACCCCGCCTCTACGCGAATTCCGACGGAAATTAGGCGACGTTGTGAACATCATGTCATAAACGGTCAGTTTAGGGTAAACAATGTAGCTAGATGTGATCAAATGAGTACCACTTTCAATTGTGATCGCAGCGGTGGTTTTCATTGAAAACCGGCAACACCGCCGCTACTTGAATTTCTAAAAACGACGTAAAAGTTTCAAAAAAGCGTAAAACATGAACTGGCTCTTCGAATTTTGTTTTGTCTAGGCGTTTTGCTTCAACACGGAGTCGCGAAACGTACTTAAACGAGCGTCAAAATCGGGCGTCGGGCGTGTTGCCGAATTTTTAAATCGCTGTAACTCGGATTCCCTAAGTCTCTCAAAAAAGTATAACATATCAATGGATGCGAAATCGAACGAACAATAATTCTGACAGGTTTTTATTCAATCTCCACCAACTTCAAACACACTTTTAGGCGATAACGTGATTTTTAATCATTATAAAAATTGAAAAAATGGCAAAAACGTGGCAACAGTGGACTCAAATAAAATTTTCTTCTGCATAGGTCGATAGAGCAAAATTTTCTGCATTTTTTGGTATAAATACGAGCTCTGTGACTGCATTTTTGCGAAAGTTATGGATGTTTGAAGGTTACGACTTTAAAAAATGGCAACGCTGTTTCCCTGCGGTTTTCGCCTAAAAGCAGCCAGATGTAGGCCCAAAATGACCTATACAATCATCCCACAAAGTTTCGTACAATCCCCGCGGGGTCACTTTTTGGCCGTTTTGCATAACCCTCTTTTGATGGGTAATGCCATTCAAGTACATGATCTCGGCTTGGAGCGCCTTCAGATTTTGCGATACTCCACGCTTTATCATAGAGTTAGTATAGTTGCTTGTCCCATCTAAACCCAACGAAGGATCTCACTACACGCCCTCCTGAGTAAGTCTGTTACTACCATGTTTTTACGGAGGGAACAGTTTCTTGCTGGGTAGAAATGGAGCCAAATTGCTAAAAAAAAATATGCAAGTTCTTACTTATGTAAAATGGTTAGACTGATATCGTTTTTGGTCAAAGCTTTTCGGCAGTTTCTAAAAGTTTCTGTCAGTTTCTAAAAGCTCTTAAAGTTTCTATTAACATTTAAAGCAGAATCATCCGTACTCTAATATTTTTCCTTTATTTCTGAATATAATGAGTTACCATTTATTAACCGGTGATTTGCAAATTGCCGGCGATTGCTTTTTGTCTGTGACATACACAAGTGATCTTAGGAGTCCTGATTATACAATGTATGATCCTCAGGGAACTTAACACCTAGTGGATTTATGCTACTGTTAATGATACACTTGCTAAATCAGTGCGTCCGACTTATTTTGATTACACGTAAATGAAATGGTGCGTGTCATAAGAACTTACGTGACTCGGTGGTTTATTTTGTCGTATTCATCGAAGAATCGTCGGAACTCCTTGATCACTGCGTAGTTCTGTGGGAGGTTTTGCGTGTGTCTGTGGTCCCACCAGGGGTCCTCGTCGCGGAATTGTGGATCCTCGATGAGGTGCGCCACGGCGCCCATTCGGAACCCGTCCACTCCCATATCCAACCAGAACTTCATGATATCCTGCAATCATCCGAAACACATCGCAAACGAATGGAGATCGCAAATCGGAATTTGCAATTTTGACAGGATTATCTGAGAGCCTGAGGTCACATTGCTTCATAAGTTCATACCTTATCGTAACGAACAATAGGCCTCGAAACACGATCGAATTCCCGAACCTATTACCATATTACCAAAGTGCGGCGGGAGTCATCAGTTTCAAAATCGTTACTTCGCCTAATTTTCAAATGAAAACCTGGCGGAAATGTTTCGTGTGGCAAGGAATGATGAATGGTGGCACTCCATTCTGATCAAAAGTTGACGTCCCGTTCAATGTTGATCAAAGAGGACTATTACATGCTGACCATCAGTCATCAACTGGTCTACTCTGATCAAAATTGGTTCGGAATTTGATCGTGTATCGAGACCTAGGGCTACTAAAGAGAGTAATGTACCTAAGTATCTATTTTCTCAAATTTTATGGTGAATATATCAATAATACATACTTGGACGCCATTAATAATGCTAATTAAGAATTGACATTTTGACGAAAAGCTCTTTAGAGTGTTAGAAAATATTTAACAATGAAAATTAAAAATTGACATTTTAGACATTGAACTGGTTTCTTTTTCTTTCTTTGAACTTTGTGCCTTGCAATTTTTTTTCTTTTCTTTTTTTAACTCCACCTCTCCTTACAAGTCAAATATCCGTGATTATCACACGATTATCCACGATAATCACAAACCTCCTTTCTTACTAATTCCTTTATCATGTATTTTTTAATGTCTAGGCCTTTGTGTGATAACGGGATTTGTTACTATAATCAATAATAAATTCCAACGAACCTTTAACGCATCTCTGACTTCAGAAAAACGAAGGTTCAGGTCCGGCTGATCCTTCGTGAAAGTGTGTAGGTAAAATTGTCGTCGCCTCTCATTCCACTCCCACGCGGACCCTTTTTCTCTTGGACTGTAGACCGATGCCTGACAAATAAATGTAGGAATGGAAGAAATTATTAATTTAAAAAAATATGTGCTTAAATAAATTAGTTTATGCAATTCATAATGACGAAAACATTTCTCTCCACAAGTTTTTGGTTTGAAAAAAGAAACTAGAAAATAACACAAAATTAGAGGAGCACATATTTTATGCAGGAATAGCTCTGATTCAGCCACAAAAATGAGTATGAGTCAGTGATGAAAAATGTCACTGTTTTTGATCACACAAATAGACCACATTTTGCAATAAGGAACTACAATTTCTGGCTCATTCAGCGTATGTGTTTCTGATACAGATAGATACTGCTATGAACGGGCTAAAAATAGTGGTTCCTTTTTGCAAAATGTAGTGCAAAAGTGCAATGTGAGAGTGTTATCAGTGTCATAGCGAGGATGCAGCGATGAAAGCGACGGAACCAAGAGCCGTATTGCCAAAGGTACCAAAATTAAAAAAAAGGGGGGGAGGAAGTAAGAAAGAGGAAGAAAGCGAGAAAGGAAGAAAGAGAAAAAGGAAAATTGAAAAGAGGGAGGAGGAAACAGTATAGGAAGAAAAAGAAGGGAAGAAGAGAAACAAGAGAGGAGATAAGGGTTGGAAAAATACACCGCGAAAAAAACACAGTTATTCTACCGTTACAACGGTGGTAATGTCACACGGGATTCCACGGTAGTAAAACCGTGGATTTTTATTTTTGTAACGATGAGCACGGTGATATGACCGTGTTCACCGTAATATTACTGTGGGCACAGACATACTATCATGAGCATGGTTATGCTACTGTGCGCATCAATAATATTACCAAAATTCACGGTTCCACTACCGTGGAATCCCGTGTGACATTATTACCGTGGTAACCGTCGAATAACCGTGTTTTTCTTTCCGTGTAGGAATGAAGATGAACAGGCGTCTCTCTGGAAAGGAAATCATCCTTTGAAGCTAAATATTCAATTGAGAAAGCTATTCTCATTGGCGTGGCGTCTCGCGTCTTCCTTTGAAAAGGAAGAGCCGTTGTTGGCGCCTCTTCCTATGTGGACGGCACGCGGCACGGCATGGCCTCAATGGCCGAACAGATGTATCATTTCGAACCCCAATCAACAGAGTGTAGCGGCGGGAATTGGTGAATAATATGTTTGCTTGGCATCATTCATCGATGGAAAGTGACGACAAATAAGAAACGATTTAATCGTGTTAAGATACTTATTGGCGCGATCTCAAAGGCGAAATAATTGCATCATTCCATTAACCACTCAATAAAGTGTGGCAGCAAAGATTAGTGAGGAATGTGGCTGCTACAGACGATTCTTTGATCTTCAGTTTGAGAATATACCGCCTAGCGTGGCCTTAGAAGTTGAATGGTTGCATCATTCAAAAATTGTGTAGCAGCGCGTAGATTGGCGAGTAATGAGGTTGCTTCAGATAATTGTTTGATGAAATGTGTCGACGCATAAGAAACGCCTTCATTGTAAAAAGATACTTCCTAACCTGGCCTAAGAGAGCGAATAGTTGCATCATTTAAAAATCAAATCAACAGCACAGCGGTACGTAGACAGCGAGTAATGCGGCTGCTCCAGATGATTCTTTGATGAAGTGTATCGGCGCTTGAGAAACGCCTTCATTGTTAAAAGATACTTCCCAGCCTGGCCTCAGAGAGCGAATAGTTGCATCATTTAAAAATCAAATCATCCAGCGCGTAGATTAGCGAGTAATGCGGCTGCTTCAGATAATTGTTTGATGGAGTGTGTCGACGCGTAAGAAACGCCTTCATTGTAAAAAGATACTTCCTAGCCTTGCTTCAGAGGCCGAATAGTTGCAACATTTAAAAATCAAATCAACCTGCGCGTAGATTAGCGCGAGTATTGCGGCTGCTCTAGATGATTCTTTGATGAGGTGTATCGACGCATGAGAAACTCCTTCATTGTTAAAAGATTCTTCCTAGCCTAGCCTCAGATAGCGAATAATTGGATCATATAAAAATCAAATTAACCAGCGCGTAGAGTAATGCGGCTGCTTCAGATAATTGTTTGATGAAGTGTGTCGACGCATAAGAAACGCCTTCATTGTAAAAAGATACTTCCGAGCATGGCCTCAGAGGCCGAATTGTTGCATCATTTAAAAATCAAATCAACGGTGCAGCAGAATGTAGATTAGCGAATATTGCGGCTGCTTAAGATGATTCTTTGATGAAGTGGGTCGACGCATAAGAAACGCCTATATTGTATAAAGATACTTGCTAGCCTTGCTTCAGAGGCCGAATAGTTGCAAAATTCAAAAATCAAATCAACCAGATCGTAGATTAGCGAGTAATGTGGCTGCTTTAGATTATTATTTGATAAGGATAGTCGATGCATGAGTAACGCTCCCATTATTGAAAAATACTTTCCAGCGCGGTGGCGGGTGGTATATCCACGAATTTGCGCTTTTGATGGGAGCTTTTCATGAGAGGATGACACTACAGCTTGACAGCTTGACAGTTTTGACGGGCTGACTGAATAACAGCGTGACTAATAGACAAAAAAACACCATTTTTCCCGAAAATACGCACATTTATAATAATTCAGTATGTATTTGAAACCGTAAACGCTTACCCAGTTATTGGGAGGGATTGGTTTTCCATTCTCCCATCCTTTAGGATCCATCCATACGTAGTAATCTTTGTATCCAGGCACCCGATCGATTGACTTCTGAAACCACTCGTGTTTTTTGCTCGTGTGGTTGGGCACGAAATCCATAATCACTCTTATCTCTGAAAACCGTGAGGGATAGGGTATGACTCAAATTTATAGGATTTACTTACATACAGCTTTTTTAAAGCCTAAGGAATAAATAAATAAAAAACAAGTGTAGCCAATAGAGGTTTTAATTTGTAATAAAATTATTGAGTCGTCCTTGCGGTAAGAAAAATTATTTGCGCAATTGGGCTTTCGGTGCTTTAACAGGTTACAGAGTGACATACGAGGACTGCTAGTTTTAATGCAGTCACCGAATTGAAGAGGGCTTAGAATTACTCCCTTAAGATTCTTAAGACGAAATGAAGAGATTAGAGCCCTTGAGGATTCGTTTACTTTCATGGCAACTTTGCAACGTTTAATTTGATTAATTAAAACCTTAATGGGTTGAAAATTAAATCTATACGTCATTAATAATTTCCGAATATTTTGGCCGAAATTTCTAGAAGTTTCCTACATATTATATCCATGACCACATATATCTACAATTGCAATGTTGCAAAGCTCCGTTCTTGTTTTATTTATTTTCATGTTTCATATTTGATAGAGCCTTGAAAATAGAACTTTTTAAACATCGTTTTCCTTTCATTTGATACGGAATACACCCGGACAAAGTTGGTCAGATTAATATTTTGGAAACTTTAGGTAAAAATGAGATGAGCTTAGGAAGGAATGCGCTTCAGTAGCTACATATTTTATCCTGTAAAAATTAGGATTTGAGATTCGATATTATGACATTGCCCTTGAACACTGGGCCATATGTCTAAAATTGAGTGTCTGGGAGAATCAAGCAATATCCAGTGCTTTCGAGCTATCCAGTGCCATTCAGTAGAGATCTCTCGGTCTCAGATCTTGATATGATTCCTTCTCTTCAGTTAAACTTGGTTTATAAGCACAATGATCATTGAATTCTTGCAAAAAATATAGTTAAAATTTGTAACGAAATACATCCAGACAGGGAAAATGTAAACAGATCATGCATATAGATTTATGTGCAAAGTATGACAATACCTTTTTTATCACCGCAAGGATTCGTATCAAGTTTCGTCATAAGAGCTTTAAAGTCGCTCATGGTACCGAACTTGCGGTGAATTTTCTTGAAATCAGAGACATCGTAACCGTGGTCTTTCATTGGTGACTCGTAGAATGAGTTTATCCAAATGGCTGTCACGTTCAGCTCACAAAGATAGGGGATTTTTACTTTGATTCCTGCGAATGAGATATTGTTTACAGTGTTAGATTCAAGTTGCATTCTAATAGTTACTAGAGGAATTTAGACACTGACTTAATTCGAAAGAAAAAGACACAAAAAGAATAGACAGGTAGCGGGTACAAAACTGCCTGACATTATTTGCTCACTATTAAATCGATTACATTTTGCAATAAGGAACCACTATCTCTGGCTCTCCCATAGAAGCACATATCTACATAGGGTAACCAATGGCATGTATGTTGTTTCTAAAATGGGCCAGAAATAGTGGATCCTTACTGTAAAATGTAATCCTGTGGTGACTAGTGCTCCCACCCTCAAAATGGCAAAAGTCATGACAAAACACGAACCGTGTTCCTGGATGAACCGGATTGTATATTCCGACATGCATGGCGAAAAATGAGGTACATACGTCACGTTGTACACGACCATTCTATTTTCCGTGCAGAGGGATAGGTGAGGTAGAACTGAGATAAAATCATACTTTTTTTCTTTTTTACTGCGAGTGTATGGACCTTCTTCATTTTGGAAATTTTTCAGCAGAATTCCTTCTTTGCGGCAAAATTGGATTGCATTTTGAAAAAAGGAACCAAGAGCATTGCAATGTTGCTAAGATTGTGCAGCTTCCTTTGTCTGGGCGAAGAAAAACCCGATGATCTATAACAGTTTCTATTTTAATCGCTAAAAACTGTGAATTTAGGACAAAAATTATCATGTAAATTTCATATTTTTTCAGGATTTAAATAGTTATATCGCGATGGATGAAGTTGTACAATCTTACCAACATTGCATTGCTCCTCGTTCCTTTTTGAAAAATGCAATCCAATTCATCTATTTTAAGTAAGCATTGCATTTTGTTGGTTCCTCGTTTAGTAGAGAATTAATGTCTACTATGTTTTCCCGTCGAAACTTTCGTCGTGACGAAGAAACACGATGGAAAAAAGAAAGGGAAAACTGCATTTTGTCAGAGATTTCTTCG